TTTTTTTTTTTGGTACTGAGGATTGAACTTGGGACCTTGAGCTTGCAAGGCAGGCACCGGAACCACTGAGCTAAATCCTCGGCCCTATTTCCTCCATTTTTAAATGACTTCCACAGGGCATGGTGAGGATGAGATGATGTCGAGCACCTTGACAGTACAGTGCTTTGTCCCAGAAGCTGTCAAGACGGAAGTGCAGTAAGGTTCCAAAGTCTCTGTAAGGGTGATTTCCTCCTCCACTGGATCTGAGGGAAGGGGTTAAGCTAGCGGCACACACATTGCACAGGGAACCACATGTGAAACCAGCTGTGTCCTCTTGTTACCTGGGTGTTCTTTGTTATGACAGGCCCTTTAAAGACCCCAATTGCAGCTGGTCACCCATCTATGAATTTACTGCTGCGAAAAACATTTGACCTTTATGCCAATGTCCGGCCATGCGTCTCAATCGAAGGCTACAAAACCCCTTACACTGATGTGAATATTGTCACCATTCGTGAGAACACGGAAGGAGAATACAGTGGCATTGAGCATGTGGTATGTTGTTATTTTTGTGTTTCTAGTTGAGTTGTTCTTTGTCTTTCATGTTTTCACCTGAGCATATCTCCTGTCTTAGTTACTTTTCTTGTTACTGAGTCAAAATACCCAATGCCCAGAGTAAAAAAAGGAAAGATTTATTTGGGTCACAGTTTGTAGAGGTTTCAGTCCATAGTTGGCTTGGTCCAAAGCAGGGTGGCATGGCAGAGGGCATTGCCGTGGGAGAAACAGTTCATGACAAGCAGACAAGTGACAAGCAGTGACCCTCTTTCAGGCCCTTATATCCTATCCAGGCTCCCCTCCCTTAGAGCAGGTAGCCCCCACACCCAGAATAGAGGAGCATTAATTCTAGCATCGCACCATGAATCAATCCCAGCATCATATCCTTGATTCCAGCAGCATACATCCTAGATCCAGCCACCTCCTAAAAGCCCCACCTAGGACCGCATGAGGTTTTTGGGGGACTTCTAGATACAAGCTAGAACATCTCCCAAGGATGGATGTGTGTTACCTCACTGAGGAAGGAGTTGGGTGTTTTTCTAGGGCTGGGTCTGCAGCTGACTATTGAGATGGATGCAGTAGGAGCAGGGCCTGGTGGTTCAGAGCGCAGGCCCAGGACTCTGCCTGCCTCACAGATGGGCCCTCAGGCAGTCGACCCTCTCTGGGCCTTGGTTTCTTTCTTCTGTGTACCAGGGTTTATTACACCTGCTTCAGAGGCTAAAATTAACACTGACCCCAGAAACACAATGTGTGCCACTGGCCACACTAGCATGCCACAGTGATGCAGTCTACACTGCATGCTGACTTGATGGTTGTGGGCATACCCTCTGAGCAGGGCAGGACTCTGTCTCTCTCAGATCGTCGATGGAGTCGTGCAGAGCATCAAGCTCATCACTGAGGAGGCGAGCAAGCGCATTGCTGAGTTTGCCTTTGAGTACGCACGGAACAATCACCGGAGCAACGTCACGGCTGTGCACAAGGCCAACATCATGTGAGTCCCACGGAGACGCTGCTCCTGCTGCTGTGCCTTGCTGGGTGATGACAGACAAATTCACAGAAGCAGAAGTCCAGGCCCTGGGAGCTAAGGAAGGCCTGAGGGTTATGAGAAAGCCTGGAAAAGACTCGGGTCCCTAGGACCACATGGTCAGGGCTTTGGTGGCACCTCTGCCACCTGCTGCATCCTATGGGATGCACATTCTCATCACACTCACCCAACTAAAAGTTGGCTTTTCTGAATGTATAAAGAAATAGTTCACCTAACGTAAGAAAATTATTAAACATGCAAAACAGTAAAACCATTTAAATAATGGAAGTAAATTAACCCTTTAAACCAATTTTAGTAATATTACTGAGTACTCGGTTTTTGCTGGTTAGTACTATAAAAAGCTAATGTTCTCTGTTATGATGAAACTGCATATTTTGTTTTTATCCTTTTGTCCCTCCAGAAGGATCCCAAGACATTTTCAATTTTATTAACTGCCTAAGAAATAATTTTTACTGAGGTGGGCATGGTGGTGTATGTCTGTAATCCCAGGAGGCTGAGGCAGGAGGATCTGTGAGTTCAAGGCTAACACAGGCTACATAGTGAGTTCAAGGCCAGCCTGAACTACATAGTGAGATCTTGTCTCAGAAAAGAAAGAATTTTACTATAATTTTTTACTGTGATGATCTTACTATAATTGAAATCAGACATTTTAACTTCTGGAACTTGAATTTCTTGAACTTCTTTCATTTGAGTGTTTTCTTTCTTAAATACAGGAGAATGTCAGATGGACTTTTTCTGCAAAAATGCAGGGAAGTCGCAGAAAATTGCAAAGATATTAAATTTAATGAGATGTACCTTGACACAGTATGTTTGAATGTGAGTACATTTTCATACTTAGCTATTCTGTGATGAACACTGTATGTGTGGTTAGATTTTGATTGCTAAATGCACAAATGTGTTCTTTGTAGATGGTACAAGATCCATCCCAGTTTGATGTTCTTGTTATGCCAAATTTGTATGGAGACATCCTTAGGTGAGTTCGGCTGCACCCTTTTTATTTTTAGTCTCTGGTTTCTTTACAGACATGCTAAATAACTTTTGGGTTAACGTTTTCAATCAGATCTTATGAAATATAGCATTTTTCGTCAGATGTGAGCTGAATTCTAACAATTCAGGTGGTGACATCAATGATTACATGTTGGGGTGGGGTTGGTCCTTTATTTACCAAGTCAGCACTGGGCTATTGCTCCCTCATCATTAGTTTGCTCTTTCTGTTTTTCAAATTTTTTTTTTCATTACTACAGATTAAACCCGGAACCTTCATACTGAGCTACATTCCCAGTCCTTTCCTGTTAATTTTTTTTTTAAATTTTGGGACAGAGTCTCGCTAAGTTGCCCAGGTGGGACTAGGCAGCCCTTCTTCTGCAGTCTCCCAAAGTGCTGGAATTACAGGCATGTGCCATCATGCCTGGCTTTTTCAGATGTTTTTTTTTTTTTGGTACCGGGGATCAAACTCAGGTCCTTGCGCTTGAGAGGCAGGTACTGGAACCACTGAGCTAAATCCCCGGCCCATCAGATGTTTTATTGGTTGGCTGATTGATTGATTTCAATATGTTGTGTTATGTATAGCTAGGTTGGTCATTTTAACAAATGTTTTGCTTATTATTTTTTGTGGTGCTGGGGACCAAACCTAGGGTTTCATGCATGCTAAGCATGTGCTTTGCCACTGAGCTACACTCCTATCCCCAGTAACTTTTGACTGACTTTCAGGCTTCCAGAAAAGTTTTAAGAATGGCACAAAGAATTCCTGAACTCAGCACCTGGGTTTGCCAGATCTTAACATTTCACCACACTTACTTTGTTATCACCTCACCACCAATGTTGGCCAGAGGTGATTGTCCAAGCCATCATTCCTTCTGTATTAGGGGCTGGCATCCTGCTGTGAGGATCAGCTGCCCTTCCTGTGTCTCTTTACTTAGCTGTGCCATATGGGCTCATGGTGTTCTGTTTATTCAGGGCTGTGCCCCTCGCCGCATCATTCCCATTGATGCTCAGGTGGGCCATCTGGGCCAGGCTCCCTTCCCCAGGGCTCCTGGTTCCTGTGGCCTCAGGCCTTCCTTCTCTGAGCCTCGTCTTGCTGTCTGGCACAGTGAGATGTTCTAAACGTCACCCCTGGAATCAGCCACTTCTCCAGGAAATTAGTTCCTGCTAGTGGAGCATAGTGTTTATAATGGAGCCTGAATGACATGTGATGTTTTCCTTTTCTAAATATCTGTCTCCAGTGACCTGTGTGCAGGATTGATTGGTGGTCTCGGCGTGACCCCAAGTGGCAACATTGGAGCCAACGGGGTGGCCATCTTTGAGTCGGTAAGGGACCCAGACACCCGAGCAGAGCTCAGGTCAGAACAGGAGGGACACAGTAGGGGCTCTGTGTATTCTTGGGGTTTAATTCTGCCATTTTACAGATTGTCAAAAGAATAATGCATATTTTTATAGTCTTCATTTTTCTCCAGGTATTTATTATGTAACCTTCCTCACTTGTATTTTACCAAAAATTGACTGAAAAAGATTGTTCCATATTTTTGCACTTTTAAAAAACTTAGCTCTGAATTTCCACAAGGCTTTACTCCTGAGGTCTGTCAGGTGAATTACACACAGCACCGTCAGCGCAAACCTTTGAGGGGTGAGGGTTGAGGAAGGTGATGGGGACCCCACCTCCCTTCAGAAAGCTGCTGTCTTGGCTGCAGTGCAGGGTAGAGCCCAGGGCCAGTGCTTGCCATCTGCTGAGGGCTGCAGGCTCTGGTCTCCTTGCTGATGCTGCCTTCCTGACGCGAAGGTTCACGGGACGGCCCCTGACATCGCAGGCAAGGACATGGCCAATCCCACCGCCCTCCTGCTCAGCGCTGTGATGATGCTGCGCCACATGGGGCTTTTTGACCACGCCGCAAGGATTGAAGCCGCATGCTTCGCCACAATCAAGGATGGAAAGGTATCGTGGTCTTGACTTGTGTGTGGTGGTTGCATCTCTGTGCTGTGTCTGAGTGAAGGAAGCAGATGAGTTTCAGGAGAGTAGAAGGAACCGATGTCAGAGATTCTCAGTGTAGACGCCCTGGGTGAGCTTCAGGAAGTGTGTACACACATGTTCATTTGCTGAGGTCAGGGTCCAGGTATTCTACACAAAAAGGACCAAGGAGCACTGACAGGCATTGTGCACAGCAGGAAGGACAGAGGGAGCCAGAGACAGGGCAAGCTCAGCTGTCCTGTCGCCGTGCGGTCTTGGCCAATTCCCCCCTGGCCCCTTTTTGTGATAGTAGAGATTGAACCCAGGGCCATTGCACTAAGCTACATTCCCCAGCTCTTTTTTCTTTTTTTGGTACCGGGGCTCAAACTCGGAAACTTGTGCTTCCAAGGCAGGCGCCAGAACCACTGAGCTAAATCCCTGGCCCTTCAGGTAAGGTCTTGCAAGGTCACTAAATTACCCAGGCTGGACTCAGCCTCAGCCTGTGCACTACTGTGCCTGACTTGCCAAGTTGTCCTCAGCAGAATTTCTCCAAAGCTGGCCCCTTTATAAAAGTGTTATAATTTGAGATTCCTTCTCACAACCAAAGTATAAGAAATCCAAGCTTCGCCTGCTGCTCAAGTGCAAGGACCTGAGTTCGATCCCTGGTACCACCAAAAAAAAAAAAAGAAAAAGAAATCCAAGCTTTTTGTTTGTTTTTGTAGGTGAGGATGGAATGTAGGTTCTCTTGCATGCTATTGTAGTCAGCAGGATTAGGCAAGGGAATGCATTAAATACAGGACACATAACTTGTAAGATTATTTTATGATAAGTACCCAAAGAGTCAAGCACAAAGGAGTGCAAGAGATTAACCGCACACTAGAAGCCCAAAGGATTCAGCTGAGAGCCTGGATCCCAGCAGTTTCCCATATGAGTCTAGCTAAAGGCTTAGAGTCCAAGGCAAGGTCCTCCTCAAGTCCAGCCGGTGGCCTAGAGCAATGTCTATTGCTTGTCTGTATTGAGGATCTGCACCTAGAAGGCCCAAAAAGCCAGTGGTGGGAGCCAGAACATCTACGCTGGTGAGATGAAGGATTTGTGCCACCAGGCTGAGGGATCCACATTGGAGCCAGGAAGTGATGCTCATGGTAAACATCAGAGCTCCTTTGATGAAAATAGCAGCTATTCCCAGTGACATCGAGGTCCTGAGCTCCTCCTCTGACAAGAGGCTAGTTTGCATCAGGAAAACCATCCGCAGCAAGCTTCTAGAAAATCAACAGGCAGATCTTCCCCTTCAGTTCTCTTTTTATGGCTATTGGTAACAATCTTCAGGTGGATTCTCCATGCCCAGACCATGCCATTTCAGTTCAGCTGGGCATTACAAGTTGACCATTAGTCAGTCTACCACTGATTACACCCTCAGCCTGACAGTAACTTTAGGGAATCCTGATTCTGTTTTTATTCTAAAGCTTTAAGAAGTTACATCCTAGAGCCCAGCAGAGAGATGCCTGAGTTATACAGTAACCTTAATTGTGCAGGTTGCAGATACAAGGCAAAAAAATATATATAAATATATATATATGTAAATAAATAAAGACAGGGTCTTGCTGTGCAGTTCAGGTTGGCCCTAAATTCATGGTGATGCTCTTGCCTCAGCCTCCCGAGTGCTGGGATTACAGGCGTGCACCACCACGCCCAGCAAGAGAATTAAATTGAGGTCTCTTTGCACTAGAGTGAGCTGGTGCAAGACTGAGACTGGTGGAGAGTGAGACTGGTTGAATGGGAGACTTCTCCCGTAAGGAGGGAAATTTGAGACAGAGTCACTTAGGTATATTTTGGTATTTGTTCTCTAGCCTTCAAAAATAGATCAGAACATGTCTTAAGTTTTTTTGTTTTGGTACTGGGGATCGAACTTGGGTCCTTGCGCTTTCGAGGCAGGCGGTAGAACCACTGAGCTAAATCCCCAGCTGTCTTAAGTTTTTGAAGCTTCAAAAATTTCCCATGGAATTTGTAAAACCTCTTGTTTAGATTTTCTTTCATTTAAATATGCATAAGTATTTTCTTAGGGACTAGTGTATGAACAAAGGAGAAATTTTGGGAGACTTCCATGCTGCCTTTCATACCAGGAGTGCCAGTATTGTTTCCGAGTGTTCTTGTGGACTCCCTGTAATGGGGTCTTCTGGTCCTCCTGGGGAGTAGCTGGTGTGTGGGGGCCTAACTCTGAAGAGAGGAACTGAATGAAAGTTGCAGCAGGCAAGCTCCTTGCTCAGTTCACATCTCACTGAAGGCTTTGAATGACAATATCTTGGGTGTGGATCCCTTTTTATTCTTGCTGTTTCCTTTTCTCAGAGCTTAACGAAAGATTTGGGAGGCAATGCCAAGTGCTCAGACTTCACGGAAGAAATCTGTCGTCGAGTGAAAGATTTAGACTAACAGTTCACCAGTGGTGTATGCTGCAGTCACTCTTAATGGACACCACCTCGTAAACCTCTCTGTAGGCGCCTGCCATTCTGTGTGCATTTGGTTTGCTTGTTTTTTGACAGAGCACATTTTAAAATCTGGCCTTTTCTTAACCAGTCTGTGCAAAGGATGCAGGAAATGTCCCTGATCTGCTTTCAAAGGACTTTTTCCAAGTGCTTGTTTTATTTATTAAATGTCTATCTGGTAAACATTGTTTTGTAAACTCTAAGTGGACTGTATCATTTGCCATTGTTAACCATTTTACACTTTAGTTTAAATAATTTTTCCTCAACTGTAAATATTATGATACAGAATTAATAAGAGAAAACATACAACTTTTTAAACAGAAGTCCTGTCTTTGGTTTATGACAAACATAATGGAAATAAAACAGGACATTGACATAATAGCACAAAATGACATTCTTATAAAGCTAAATGGGCACAGGAGAAATTTCCTGGGAAAGTTCACATCTAAAACAGCAAAAAAGGTATATTTCTTAGTGATATGGAAAATAAAAACAGATGTTTCCTTTACATGAATTACTATGAATAAAAATTTCAGATCCAAGAAATATATAATGAGCAATATAATTTTTTTAAAAAATTTAAAATTTTTAAATTTATTTTATTTATTTTATTTTTTTCAGTACCGGGGATGGAACTCAGGACCTTGCGCTTGTGAGGCAGGTGTGGTGGCACTGAGCTAAATCCCCAGCCCAGTATAATTTTGTCAATGAGATACAGATAATATATTGTGTACGAAGTCCCACATGGATCATGTTTTTCATGATTTTACTTTGAGGTTTAAAACTCCGTGTGGCTCCTGATGAAGCCGTGGGTGGTGCTGCCTTCTCCCTGGATGCACTGTCACCATTGCATCATCAAGGCCCCCAACCCTGTCCTACCTGAGTTGGGCCAGGAGCCGACCCTGTCACGTTCCCTGTATCGTCACAGCAGGGAGATGGCTCCACTCTCGCTGCTACTGCCGGGAGGCACTGCTCGAAGTCTGGTCCCTGGTGTTTGAGCTGCAGTTGAGGAACCCAGGGTGCTGGCTATTGATTTCACATCTCAGCAGCTGCCCTTTTGCCTCCCCAAAATCACTGTGCCCTTCACCCAGTCCCTGCCCTCTGCCTCAATAGCACCAGCATAAGATGCCACTGTAGAGAAAGCTGACTCACAGAACGTCACCCCGAAGCCTGGTCTTGTCAGCCTGTGACCTTCAACTCCCTTCTCCCTGCACCCTCTCCCTGGTGGCAGCATGAGCAACTGCACTTTGGCCCCATACGCATTCTCCCTTGCCCCCACCAGTTTGCAAACCTGTGGCTTTGCATAATGTCCCCAGATCACAAGGGGATTTCTTAACAGACGTCCTCCTCTGGGTCATTTTTAAAGCTTGTAACCAGACCAACAATCCTTACATGTATTCTATTCTGTTTATGCTGCTGCTTCTGTTGTTTTATTGGATTGTGCTAATTACCAGTGGCTCTTGGTTCATAGAAATAAAGAATTCCAAAACAACCAAGATGTGCGTCTTCTGCCTTTCCAGCTCAGGTGCCTTGGGGCATTTTGGCTCAGCTTATTACTAAGAATAACCACTCGAATGCGCAGAGTAGATGTGTGGCCTGGTGGTAATGCACTAATGCCAGAGTGGGCTCTGGTTACTAGATTGTTCCACTGACCATCCTCCCTGGCACTAACAGTGTTCAAATGGTCACTTGTACCTGTCACAGAATCCCACAGGTTAAATACTCACTGCTCTGTGCCCTGCTTGCTCAACTGACAAAAAAACCAGGTACTTGTTAACAGTTATGTTAAAAGTTTAATATTAATATTACACATTAAATACAGTCACATGGCAGCAGCAGTTTTATTAGGCAGTGTCCAAGAAGATTCCAGAGTAATCTGGCTGTTAAGTGAGCTAGATGGCTTTAACTGCAGCACATACTAGTAATACGACCCCCCCACCCCCACCCTGGTCTCTGTTGAGCTGTTGAGCTATGGCTTGTTAGGTCTCCCTGGAATTAGGGGTGAGCAGGATCAACCCTTTAGTTGTGAAAGGAGAGCTGATTTCATCACCTGAACACTTAAGCAGAATTTAAACTACTCGCATGTGGAGCTTCTTGGAGTTGTAGATGTTGGCCAAACCCTGCCCTGGAGGCCAGACAGACTTGCCTGAGTTCCTGTGGCCACATGGGAGAGCCTGGAGCTCGGAGACACCTCAGGCAGAGGCTGCCTTCTCTACTCATTGGGAATCACGTGGATGGCCCCCACTACTTCTTTTGTTCTTGGTAAAAGGAATCAATTATATCTTTGTACTTCTCCAGGACTGTGAGCCGCTTGAGTTTCATGGTGGGACCTAAAAGAGAAGTGGGAAGAAGCAAGTGAGGCCCAGGCTCCACAGATTCTGAGAGATTTGGGGTAAAGATTCAGACTCAGAAGTGGGCCAGGTGAGGAAGGGAGGGTGAGGTGCCAGCCTCTCAGACCCAGGCCTCCAGCCATCACACCCTGAGGAGGCTCTTCATGCAGTGGCCAGGGATGGCCGGAGAGTAACAGTGATAAATAGGTCAGAAATGACTATAGTTTCTTCCCAGCATATGGGGAGGCAGTATGAACTGTGGCCATCTTGCCTGTGACCTGTGCCCATCCCTGACCTCTACTCATTGGGATTATGTCCCTTCAATGAATATACTCATCTCCCATGATCCACAGGGGATTGGTTCCAGGGCTCCATGGATACCTAAATCTGAAAGTGCTCAAGTCCTTACATAAAGTAGCATAGTATTTGCATATAACCTAGGCATGTCCCCCTGTCTACTCCCCACCCTGGTACTAGAGATTGAACCTTCGGCCTTACACTGAGCTACAGTGGTAGCTTGGTTCATGAACTAATTCTTTCCATGATTCTGGTCGCAAACCAAATTGGACAAGAACTGAATCAAATTCAATGATTAGGTTCAATGTTGACCTTGATTTAGTTATTTTTTATTTTTTTGGTAGTGGGGATCAAACTTGGGACCTTGGGCTTTCGAGGCAGGCAGTGGAACCACTGAGCTAAATCCCTGGTCCCGGATTTAGTTCTTGTTCAATTAGGATTGTGACCAGAATTGTGGAAAGAATTAAGTTCGTGGACTGAGGCACCACTACATATCCTTGCCTCCGCCCCATTTTTTTTTTTTTTTCATATTTTGAGTCAGGATTTTGCTAAATTGCCAAGTAGCTTAGGCTGGGCTAAAACTTATGATCATCCTGCCTCAGCATCCTAGACTGCTAGAATTACAGGTATTCACCACTATGCCCAGCTTCTCCCATATGCTTTAATCATCTTTAGTTACTTACAATGCCAAATACAATGTAGTAAATGCTATGTGAATAGGTGCATTGTTATTGTTTAGGGAATAATGATGAGGAAAAATCTGTATATGTTTAATACAGGTTCATTTAAAAAAAAATACTTTCAATCTAAGGCTGGGTGTCTTTTGTAGATGTGGAATGTGCATATAAGGAGGACCAGTAAACTGGTCCAGCAATAGAAATCAACACTCCTACAGCTTCTGTCTTAGGCTCTTGAATGTCATCTCCCTGCATCCAGCCAGCTGCTACATTGAGGCATTATGGCTGCCCGTGGAGAGGTCCTTGGGCCAGAACAGGTCTGTCCTATAGCTGGCAAGCACAGACCTTCAGCTGTGGGTGACGGCCCCTGGCCCACAGTGACCTCGAGAGAGACTCCAGCCAGAACCACAGCTGAGCTGCACAGCTTCCTGACCCACTGAAAGGAAGACACGTGTTTATTGCTCCAGTAGGGGGTGACTGTTACACAGAAACATAGCTGCTCCAATGGCTTCTGTGTATCTGGGACAGCTCTGGTGATGTGATGGGGTGTGGAGCCTCTGTCAGGGTGTTAATGAGACTTCTTCCCTCAGTCACTTTTCTAAGCTTTGGTTTTCCCCATGTGAAGCATGGCTGAGGTCCTGGGTAGCCTATGTCACTCCTGACTGTAACTGGAAGCTTCAACATCAGCATCTGCTGAGGGAGGACATTTTGTATCTGCTTGACCTTGTTTTCAATTTGACAATGAGACGTTGAGGTCTCCAACCACCTCTCAGCATTACTGAAGCTGGTACCACTGAGTTTAGCCTTGCTGGCTTTTATGGGGGTTCCATGGAGGTGCCTTCCCCTTCCCTGTGCCATGAGTACCCTAAGGTACCACAGTCAGGAGCAGCTTCATCTGGCCAGCTGAGGATGCATCTCAGGCTTCTCTTGACCCTGCACTGTGGTCTAGAGATTGTCATCCCTTAACCTATCATGTGAGCTGACTGCAGATGATAGCAGTGTTCTCATGGCCAGGCAATGCCAGCCTGAATTACCAGCAGGGCCACACATTGCCTGGTGGGTCCATTGGGATTTGAAAGGGAAAACAGTTCCACAGTCAAGGCAAAACCAAGGGCTGTCTTCAAATTAATAAGTCCTGGCACACATCCTATGTAGTCACCCCTCAGTATTCTTGGGGGATTTGTTCCAAGATCTCCCATCCCAGACACAAAAGCCCACAATGTTCAAGTCCCTACATAAAATGGGATAGTTGTGTATAACCTAGGAAGGTCCTCCAAATACCTCAGATCATCTTTACATTACTCATAATATCTATCACCAACACAATGGAAGTGCTATGTTAATTGTTCGTCATTGTGGTATTTAGGGAATAACCACAAGAACACAGTCTACACTGAAGAGAACGGTTAATTCAGAGGAAAAGAATTTAGTTGGAGTCAAGTTGACCTTGGCTGGAAGTGAACTCAGCAACCCCCTGTTACTTTTAATGTAATTTAGCCGAATTATGAAAGGGCAAGAAGCTTGTGCCACTTACAGCCTCTAATACTGGGCAAAGATGTCGCTACATACGCCACACTATGATTTCAAACAGAGAAAGAAACAGCACAGTTGTGTTTCTAGTTCACTTGACAGCATTTTGTTCTGTTTCATCTATGGATATTTCTGGCCTTCAACCGTTTACATAACTGCATTTCATATTATCAACAAAAGAAGTATATCAAAAACAAATAGAAATTCTGAGTGATAACCTGGAAAGAGAAAATCAGAGATGTATCATAACTCCGTGTTGTTTGAGAAAACAGCATGCACGATGGATAGCCAAGAAAATGACCAAAATACAGGTAATTGCAGGTAAAATTGAGCATGCAGAACAGAGACGAAATGAATTACTGGAAGAGACCAAACAGAGAAAAGGAGATCGATGAATTTATGACACAGATCAAAAAAGTTACAGCACAATTAAAAGAAGAAGAGGAGGAATTTATAATCAGAGAAAAAACCCCTTAATTTATGAGTTAAACATATATGAGTATTTAATCGTTAATGAAACAAAAATTAGCAAAGAAACAGAAGAGCTCATTGATAGTCTTCCACACCTTCATTTGGCAGAAGAAGAGTACACAATAAAAAACAGAAGGCTACAAGAGCTCTATAGGACATTAAAGCACAAAGACAGGAGACTTTGCTGAACAACTACATTTCTCATATTACATGGGACTTTTCAAGATATGTTGAAAACATGGAGAGAGTGAAGAAAGAATTAAGACAAGCACGAGATCAAGAAAGGCAGAAGGTCAAAGAACATTTTGAAATTCTAAAAAACTTAAAAAATGAAGTCGATTTACATGACCAAAAAGCAGACCTTTTGCTTCTGGAAAATAAAAGATTAAAAGAATATATTTCATGCTTACAGAACAACACAGAGGAATACAGAGAAGGACAAGACTTCCTCAGACACAATTCAAGTGACCTGTCCTGTAAACTGATAGCTCAGCACACACAATATAAATATTTGTGGACAGAATTTCAGGCCACAGTTAAGGACTCAGTGCACAATGGTGAAAATAACTTGCGTGAAATAAAAAATCTAATAGACAAGCTGTGCACTAGGGATGAAAAAATTGAGTGCATCATTCCCTTGGCTACAAGGGAGTCTTGAAGATCGGCATAAGCTCAGAAAACAGGAATCACAAACAGATCTTCAAAAAAAGAAAAACAAGCATATCAAAGAGAGTCCATTTCTTACAAAGAAATGCGTTCATAAAGAATAACAAAATAACTCAAAGATACAACTGTTGTGAATTCAAAAGACATAAACAAAACTCAGGAAAAATTAATGCACTTATTTTCATATTTTGCAACTGTTAAGTCTTCAACATGTGAGCTCTAACCAATTTGCCCAACCCTATCAAATAGCAAAAAAAGTGAATAACCTTCTAAATAATACAGTGGCTAAACATGGTCAGACTAAGGAGCAATAATCTGAACATGTCTTTCACCAAACTATCTATTAACACAAAACCTATTCTATAAATTATGCTCTATTTTTGCAATGTTGTCCAAATACTGTATTGGTGAAAATAGTTTACCAAAAACAAACAAACAAACAAAAACAACACAGTCTACAGTAGAGGAGGAGCATTTTTTCCCCAAATATTTTCCATGTATAGTTGGTTGCATCTACCTGTG